AACCCTGAGCCGGTGAGATTTGAACCGCTGACCTGCTGATCTAGCAGTAGCCTGCAGTGCTGCATTTAACCACTGCGCCACCTTGGCTCTGAAATGCTACAGATGTGGGGGGCACACGGCATCTGCATACATGACCCAACCCCATTGCCAAGGCCCGAGCCACCACCCATGGCACGACTGGAATGGGGCCACAAATGGGCCACCCATGCATCCCGGAAGGCTATACAGGCTGCAGAGGTCCCTCCCCATCCAGACGAAGATGGCAACAGGCAACAATGACCAGTCACCAGAATCTTATGACAGTGACAATGAGGGCAAAAACGACCAAATGGTAAGAGGACAATTCACCCTTTCCTTTTTCCAATATGCCTCACAGCCCCAAAAACAGGAAGCCAGGGTGATTTTAAAGTCTTAATACATACAGGCTGCACTAGAAGCTTGATCAACCTGACCACAGTCCTGAACCTGGGGATCATAGCAAAAAGACTGGCCCACCCAATCTGGTTCGAACAGGTTGACAGGTCCCTAATGGGGGGAGCCTATGCAACCCACCTGACTAAACCAGTGAGACTAGAGCTAGTACATCACTGGGAAGTAATTTGATTCATAATAGCCCCCAAAATGACAGATGCAGTCATACTGGGGCTTTCCTGGCTAGACAAGTGGGGACTGACCATATGGTGGCAAGGGGGTAACCACAGACTTAGGATAGAAAAGGGGCCCCAACCCCTTCCATACCAGCAAGCACAAACACCACCCAAACAGGGAACTCCCCAAGAATCCACCAGAACATCTGGCAGTCACATCTGATAAAACCTCAGAGACTGAACAGATCGCAGGGGAATAGCAGGACCTCGCAGAAGTATTCAGTGAGACTGAGTGCAACATTCTGCCCCCCCCCCCTGTGAGGCAGATTGCACCATCGAAATCATCCCTGGGGAAAAACTACCAAAACCCACATTATATGACATGACGCCCTGGGAAATGCAAGAAATGTGCAAATACATAGACAAAAACCTAGCATGAGGGTTCATCGAACCAGCCAAGCCACAGGTTGTGGCACCAGTCCTCTTCAAAGAAAAAAATAGAGGGAACTATGAGACTGTATATGGACTTTAGAGGAATCAATGCAGAGTGTGTACACAACCTATACCCTCTCCCCCTCATGAAGGACATGCTATCTCACCTGGCCAAGGGAAAAGTCTTCACCAAACTAACCTCAGAAAAGCATACTACCGAGTATGGATCAGGGAAGCAGAGCAACTCTTTGTGATCCAGCAGATGCCAGCAACATGGCAGTGTCAGGCATGCAGCCAGTTCCTTTTGGGATCTTTGGCCTGCCACACTAATATTCTATTCTACTAAGCTGTTTCATTAGTGGGGAATTGGGAGGGGGAATAGTAAGGAGTAGAATGTGATGTTGTCAAAATAAAATTCCTTTCTGGAATCGAAGGTCATCCTTTGTCTCCACACCTCTGCACCTGACCAGAACGGGATGGATGGAAATGCCAGCATGGCAGTGGAAGATTGGGCCATGTGATGGACTTGTGGGTGTGGGGGCAGGATCTTGAACTTTCAACTGGGGAGGGGAATTGGGAAGCTTTCAGATTTGGGTTTTCCCAGATGTGCCAACATGACTCTCTTAATAAATTGGAACTTTGAGCAATACTTTGCCTTGGACTCTGATTTAATTTTGGATGTTATTTGGAACCATGACAGCACTGGGAGCAGTGCTACTCCAAAGAAACAACCAAGGAAACTTATAACTCTCCGCCTACAACCTCCCGCAAGCTCACAGACACAGAGAGATGATGGGCTGCATGGGAAAAGGAGGCTTTTGCAGTGAGATGGGCATTGCTAACCTGGAGACACCTGTTGGAAGGGGGCCAGAAACCGTTTGAAATCTGGACTTACCACAAAAATCTTGAGGCTCTCAGGACTCAGTGGAAACTATCACCCAAACACCCCCAATGGGCTGAATATTTCAACCATTTTGACTTCATACTAAAGCACATTCAGGGGGGAGGAACTTTCTAGATGATGCCCTCTTCTGC